CTCCTTAATGTGTCTGAGAACAATTTCCACTGCTTTGCAGTTCTCTGAGGTTACAGCATCACACAATGAGCTACTCTTTTCTTTTTTTGGAAATGAATGCAAAGAGAACGGAAAGAGAGGGACAGAGAGAGGGAGCAAGGTGAGGCTCAGACATCCCATGTGCTTCCCAGAGGAGAAGGAAGTCCCTGACCCCCTGCCAGACCAGTGCCACAGAACCAGATGGTGCTCCAGAAAGGCTGGAATTGAGGTTTTTGCCCTCAACCAATGCCTGTGAAACAACAAAACCAGTAACAAAAGCACAAGAAAAAAAACCCCAGACCATACAACCACAAATTCCAGCCCAATTGAACCAATGTCATTTAAACAGCAGAAATGTATTCAGTGGTATTCAGCTGTGCCACAGCAGCAGCCCAGGCTCCCAATGCAGACAGAAGAGCACCTGAGAGGTTTCAAGGACCCAAGCTGGCAGCTGGATTGGCTTCGCGACACAGAGCCACTCTCGAGTGCTTGACCAGGCTCTTGTCTCCATGCCAAAGCAGCCAGCCTTGCAACCATGCAAGCAGGTTTTAACAGGGTTAACTGGAGGCTGCTGCCAGAAGGGAGGGCCAGTCCCACCTTCCGCCTTTCCCCCATGTCTGACCCTGTCCCTTCTCCAACCCTGTGCTTACCACTTGCAAAAGCCACTGAGTTGCCCAAATTTTATGTGTTCTTTGTACAGGGCAAGTTTCAGCCAGAGCAACAAGCCCTGGGATTCCTTCCACTGCTCCAAGAGCTGGTAAAAGGGATGGGATAGGAGGGTGGGGAAGAGGGAGAAGGTGCAACTTAGCCCTTAGCAGTTGAGCATGGTCTTGGAATGGGCAAGTTAACCGTGTAACCACACCTTGTTTTAAAAGAAGGTCGCAACAATATTTTTAAAGTAATAATTTAAAGTTTGAGCTTTTCCGTTTTCCCCTTGTTTCAGAGGATCCCCACCACATTTGGCTTGTCTCTAGAGCTGCACTGATTCCTCTCATGTTTTTCCTTCTGCAACAGAAGAGAGAAGAGCAGCCCCTGCACTGCTGGCAGCCTGCAGGCACCCCGTCTTCAGAGCACCCACATCTCACCTTCCTGAGGCTCAGACTGTCAGGAGAAAGAGGTTTTTTTCAGTCCTAGGTATGAACCAGCATGGTGTGATAGGATGTGATGGGAAGGAACTGAATTGCAGGAGTTTGCCCTGAGGCCTTGGGATGTCCGGAGGAGACCTTCTCTACTGTGATCTTCACTGAAGGAGGGTCCTGTCACCCTTTTGCTATGACAGGAATCCTGCTCCTAAGGGAAACAGTTAGAGAAAAGGCTTTGGTAGCCCCACACTATGGACCTTCACCATCAGAGGAATGTTATGGCTGCACAAGAGCAGGCATCATAGGAAGACAAACATTGCAGAGACGTAAAATGGAATAGCCCACACAGATCCATCAGCTAACATAAAGCCAGAAACAACCCTTTGTGCCTACATTTCTCATGGAATATAAAAAAGACATCAAAAGAAATTGTCTCTGATTGCAGCCTGGAAAGACAAGTGTCTAACACTTCAGCAGAGTGCCCGAGTCCTCACTAATGCCCCATCACCCACAACAGCTGCCCATGCTCCCCGTTTACCAGGTTGTTCATTGCTTTGCTCTCCCATCACCTTGGTTTTCCCCCTGAATCTTAAGACACCGATGCTGATATGGACACACAGGCAGGGCAGGGCCTACAAAGGGGGAAGGGGCTGCGGCAGCCAGGGCCAGGTGGGAGCTGAGCTAGGGAGGATGCGGGAGGACCTCAGGAACAGGCACCTGCCCTCAGTCGCAGCAGCACCGAGCATCAGCCCCTTCTCCCGGGTGGGGTGGGAGAGTCAATGAGAAGCTCCTCACTATGAGCTTCTAGCTTGGTAACAGCAAGGCAGGTGCAGAGGCACACAAGGATGTCCAGCTTCCCTCCTGGCAAGTTATGGCTGGATAAAATGAGTGCCTAAATAGTTAAAATAATACCAGATTTTGCGATAAATCGCAGACTTTTGCCTTGGACTACAGGCCGCCTTTGTTCTAAAGCTGGTCAATAAAATAATGCTTTTCTAGTTTAATTGACTTATTTTTATCAAATATAAAAAAGCAAATTTAAAGAAAATATGGGTTTTACTAAGGCTAGATGTATTGTGCACACCTCATTACAACCTATTTTGTCTTCAGGATGTTGGTATGTGTTTACACATCATGGCAGCCTTTTGCCAGAAACTAGTGAGGTCTTCCCCACTCCCCCTTTCCTACACTGCATCTTGGCTATAAAAATCCTCTTCTTTCAGACTCAAATGCTCCACCAGCCTCTGGACCTGCCTAAGAGGGCCTTAAACATCACTCCTACCACATAAGCTTTACTTTATGCAAACTTTACTCTGTACCTACAACTGCTATTTCACACATCTGTCTACTCCTTCTACGTTACAGAAGGAGGAATAACCTTACAGCATACTCTGAATAATTTTACAGAATAATCTCACCGTGAGAACAAGGCAGTTTTGGCTCTTACACATGTGTGCAAGAGGTACAACTACAAATTACTACATCCTTAACCCGCTCATGATAACTTTGCTCTGTCCTGTTCAAATGAAAGTAAGAGACAGAAATGATGTCATCTTGGCAAGTGTTTTAATTCATCAGAATTTATTCTGTATCTGTTTTTTTCCAAGCAATTGTATATTAAAAAGTGTGCAGACAAGGTTGTCCTCCAGCAGTGGTCTCGTTTTTTGTTCTCTGTTTTCGCATAAACTCCACATAGATGGTAATATACACATATATACACATATATACAGAGAGAGGTACCAACAAAAAGCAAGCTCTTCATGAGGCTGAGTATTCATTACCCACCTTTCACTAAAAATGCTATATGCAGGTGCTTCTATATTTAGAAAGGGATTTAAAATGTAGAGATGGACATCTAGTCCCATCTATAATAAGAGTATCTTCTGCAGCAGGACTTACTCTATGCCTGGTTTTGAGAACTATTAGGGAGCTTTAATTTCCTGTAGCAAATCTGCATCAGCCCTGGGATAATATTGAGACAAGATCAAATAGTCAAGATTTCTTGTGAGAGCCCTTTTTCGTCCTTGATTATATTCCCACTATCTTTTTAATTTGGGGTGGGGTTTTTTTGTAATAAATTGACACAGAGCTGGTGCAGTAAGCTATATGTAAGAATCTTTTTCCTATCAAGTGCAGTATCAAGATTTGTATTTGGAAAATCCTTACAACCACCAGAAGAAGAGAGCCGAGATTGTTTCTGAATGAAGGATTTGTAAAAAGAGCTGGCCAGCCTGACAGTCAAAGGCCAAATCCTGCCCCTGTCTACTTGGGTTGGTGCTTTTATCTTATAACTCCACTTAGGAAAATGGAGATATGATGGGCAGGCTCTTTATATGATGGATTTCAACCCTAAAACTTATGCAAAACATGGGATCTTGTATATTTAAGTCATCTGTGAAAGTGGTCCATAAGCTCCTAAGCCTTTTAGATGTTTTTGACAGAGATACTCAAGAATGCAATAAAAACACATAAATTTCGACATAAACCTTACTTCAAAAAAAGGAGCAAAAAATATGCTCTTTTTGCTTAGCTTTTTATTCCATCATTATGGCACAAGATAGAACTTAAAGACAACATCACTGAGTAAGTCTTCAACTTCATTAAACTTAAGACTAATATGTTTTATAAAATTCTTTTGATATGATACGCTTTCCCTTACCAAGTGATAAAAATAATTTTCTCTAGAATACTGCAGTACATTGCCACCTGCTGGCCATAAACAATTTTGCAATTTAAAAACACCAGAACGTGTATACGACAGCAATATTTAACAATGCAACATACAGTTACTGAAGGAGTACTATCGACCCAGACTTTGGCACAATATCTGTAGGAACGCAGCTGTGAACTTCTCCAAATGTCATGCTCATTTCTGAAACTCTGTGTGACTCCCTTTCATATGTCCGTCCGCATTTTTCTTTTTGCTTTGTCTAACTTTCTTAATGCTGAAACTTTGTTATTTCAAAGGAAAAGCCATATTCTTTCTCATTTGTTACACACCTCCATTTATTGGGTTGGGTCTTCTAAAATTTGGATTCCAGTTTATTATTTCAGAACAACACATAAAATCATACATTTATAAATATATATATTATATCCTGTATACATAACATTGGTTTTACTCTAGAATGGGAGGGCAGACCTTGCACTACATTCTTAGTTGGTTTTAGGCACGGCCTTGTTCTTAGTTGACTCTCTGAGCTGCTTCCTACCAGAATCTAAAAAAAACATTTTTATAATCTTGTATCAAATTTTAATTTTGTTTGAAAATATATTTATAAGAAAATAATATTTGGTATTTTCCCCTCTAAGCTCCCTACTACCCTTATAAAACATATGGCTTTTCATGTTCCACTCTATTTTAGTGTTTTTCAATAGGCAGTGGAAAGAAGGACAACTTCCCCCTTTAACAGTTTTTTATATAAGCACAGAAACCAGCTTGTGCACTTTCTATAGAATTCCAATGCATATCACGGTAATGTAAGTGCAGTGATTTTTAAAAAAGCAGTCATGATTGATCGACATCTGTATATGAAAACATAATATACGATTATCATACAATACCCATTACAGAATATACAATCATCCAAACTGCAGATATATAAATACATTTTTAGCAATATCAAAGCAACAGTTTTATCTTATACACAGCGTATGCATACAGTTGTTAGATTAAAATTTTCACCTTGTTTTTTCCTCAAAATCTTTGCTGAAAAACAGGAACATACTGCATTTGTAAATGGACTGCTTGACAGTGCTGTAAAGAAATTAAAGTGAACAAAGTTTTTAAAAGTATATGCAATTCAGCTGGTATAAAACAAACAAGCCCTCCATGTTTTCCCATGTCACAGCTGTTTTCCTATAAGAGGGAGGCATGAGTGGCAGTTCTGCAGAGTCTGATCATACAAGGGTTTCTGGGAGGGCATCAGGATTATCAGCTGATAGAAGCTCCCAAATCTGCCACCTCTCCCTTTGCCAATCCTGCCAGTCCGCCTCTGAAACATTTTTACTGTTCTGACTGTGAGGTGCTGTGGAACAGATGTGACCCGCCTGGGTGTGCGGGGCTGGCCGCTCCTGCCTGGAGGTGGCCTGGTCGGGAGCTTTGGCTGGCGGCCCTCCAGCTGCTCTGGTCCCTGAACTTTTATCTTGGCGTTGACGTCTCCACAAAGAGTGCAACGTTGAAGAAACACTCGACCGCTGTGACAACGCGGAGCTTGTTTTTGTTGGGCCTGGATAAGGGGGTGGTGGCCTCTCTTTTCTGTAAGAGGGCTTGGCTGTGCTCTGTGAACAACCCGCGTTGGAGTCGTGCTCACTGAGGTCCTCCACGCTGCTTAAAGTCAAGTGCCGCTCTGACCTGGAGTGTGGCAGGTCTGAACTCCTACTGCTGACTTCAATGCGGGGGTTACTGCACACCAGAGACACTGTGGGGTGGAGCTGACACTCGGGAATGGCAGCAGTCGTCTGGCTCCTCCGCATGACCTGCCTGCTGTTGTCCAATTCAGAGGAGCTGCCCTGCCACCGAGGAGAACACGTGGCGAGGTTCCCCTGGGAAAGAGAGCACTGTCCAGGTCGCAGCAAGCTGCTTTCATATATGTTCCCGTACGAACCTGGGGGCCAGAGTCAGAAAGACAACATCAGTCTGCGTAATCATTTATGTGGTGTTTAACAAGTTATTGCTTTTCCCCTGCATCACACTGTAGAAGAAGGATGGGGGCTTTTATCATCAGGCTACGCGACTGAAGGTGGAACAGCCTCCCCACCTGTTGGCTGAATATGGGGACACACAGCAGCAGCCCTACATCTATGTGAACCATGTCTAACAGTACTACTTTGCTCTTTCAAGTGCTTGAAAAGCAGGGTGGTGTTTCAGTCTCGCAGTTCCTCTGCGAGGTGGATGCAGATAGGAGAACAACAAAGGCAGGACGGGCCAGGGATTTGCTTGGACGATGCCAGCCAGCAGCAGGGCTAGCACCCAGGGTTGCCAACCTCACACCCCGTGCTATTGCCACTGCAGTGGCTGCTCTCAAATCCCCATCGGGCATCCACCTTCCAATGAAGTGCTATAAAAAGAATATAAAAGTATTTTTTGATGTAATTTTCAAAGTACTTTTTAACAAATCTCGTGGCATTTGAAATGTTGCTGCTTTTGTATAACCACTGTGTTTCTCTGTATTTTATTAAACAGGAACCTTTTGAAAGTCCAACTCTGGACAATGTGAGATCTCCTACTGGTTTAACTGGGACTTCTCAAACCCAGGAAAATGTTACATCTTTCCTAGATTTGGGCCTCAAACTTCTGAGAAGTAACTGACCTGTCATTGCTGGATCTTTGCAGCCACTTTTTAGTGTCGAATGCCAGGTGCCCCAGATATCAAAATTATCTTCGGAAACATCTAAATAGCAATAAGAACAGGAAGAAGGTGACAAATTCATCCTTAATGAATAAGCAATTATTTAAAAGCATTCAAATGTTAAGTTAAGAGGACTTAAAACTTTATGTAAGGCATCAGAGTCATTAGCGTACACTAGCATCTGGCTTACCATGCCCCTAACAAAAACAGATCTCAAATGTGCTGTCCACAGTTACTTCTTGTTTCAGGCTCAGATCCTGCAATGACTTCAGTGACCTCTGTATGGGCAGGACACCTGAGCTTGCTGAGAGACTGGAATTCCCTTCAAGCCTTCCTAAAGTCAGTGGAAGAATTTGCATGAGACCAGTCAACAGAAGGTAGTTCATGTGCTTTTTACAGGAAAACGGCACATCTCCCTCAGGCAGCCCCAGCCCCAGGGGTTACTGTAAGGCATGCTCTATCAACTTGCAGCATCACACGGCTCTTACACGGAAGTGCTGTCACAGAACAGAGATTTAATAAAATGCGCACATCAGGCATTGTGCTGGATTATAACTGGTTTGTGCCTTTTTCTGATTCCACCTGGCAGTAAAGGAATTTCCTAATTCGTCATGGTCCAGTATCGTTGTGATGCATAGTAAAGTCCAAAAGATGGTTAATATGATAAAACTTCATGTAATTTCCTGTTTATAACTTACTAGAAATCTACCAAATTTTGAAACCTATTCAGAAATTTAGATGCTGAATACAGAAGATAAATGTGCACTGGCATTTTTAGAGCATATAACTGAGATACTAGCCTAAATCACATTAATTCCAAAGAGAATTACGTGCCTAACCAGTACCTCTGAAATAAAATGGTTTTAAAAATACCACCAATTATCTGCATCCTTAAGCACTGGAAGTCCTTAAAGTTTGGCTCCCTAAATATCCATTTCATGAAAGTTGTTTTAAAAAAAAGTTTTTTAATGAAAAGCATCTTGAAGTGCTGGTGAGCTATCAGTTTAAAACACAGTTCTTTACAGAAGAAATAATTCAGGTGTGCACTGCCTGGATAGCTATGAAAATCATGTTATCCTGCGCTAGTAGTGATAGGTGTGTAATTGTTAGCAGATGTCAAGCTGTGCAGCTCAGCTGCATTCTCCAGCGAGCAGGAGTTGAGGTCATTCTTTCCAACTGGAGAAAATTTGTAGCTTCATGTCTTAGAGCGTCAGATTTTTCCAAAGTCTCGACCATAACCTTGCAGGTATTACAGTCCTACAGAGCATGACTAGAAGTCAAAATCTTTGCCACACTGTCATAGATAGGCTGAAAAGCAGGACATACATAGTTCTATTTTCCTACACAATAGCTCCAAGTTTTGAGAAATGTCATACCAACAGCATCCTTGACAGATGGCTGAGCTAACAAGGAGGACTGAGCACAGACCCTTTGGGCTCAACACAAGAAAATGATGTTGGTCAGTCATTTCTTTTAAGGTTATTTACACTATTGCTCCTCACATCCTGGTAGATGATAACACAGAGGAGACACTTTTAAATTATTTCAGAAACCCCCATCAGTCACTAAGGAGGAGGAACATGAGCAGGATGTATTCTTACCTTTTCCAGCCCGTGATGCAGAAGAATTCTCCTTTGTCTTGGGCTGCAAATGTCCAACCAGCGTGTACTGTTCAGGTACCTTGTACAGCTTATCTGGGCTCTGGGCAACTTCTTCTTGCATTGCCATCAGCGAGCGCTCAGACAGTACTGGGGAGTTGTTGTCGTAAGGGGAGACGTCTCCGCTGGAAGCTTTGTTGGAGTCTGTGGAGGAATGTCTTCCTCCCGTGGAATAGGAACCTTCTGACCGCAGCATCTCAGGGCTCCTGAGAAATTTTGATAAACTGCTGTTAATGAAAAATGCTTTCTGTTTACAGAGAAAGGTGCAGTTTGACATCATACAAATAAAATCAAATACAGGAGTATGATCACAGCTGCTGAAACAAAAACACTTCAGAAGCAGTAGAGAGGTGAATTTTCCATGAGTAAAACTTTTGCTGTGAAGTGGCCAGCAGAGGCCACTAAAAATCAAAAGATGTTGCTGTCAAGAAGCAAAACAACAAAAAACACACCGTACAATTCACCACAGGAAATTAAATAGTGAATCAATTCCCTATGTTACCTTGGCAATATAGCTTGTTGTAACAGTAAATCTGAGGGCACGATAGGGAAGATTAGTTTGATGCTAAGCAGTATGCTAAAATCACTTCTTCCATTCTGAAGAACTACACAATCAGAGAAATCAAAACCATAGCTCGCCTCTCATGCTGTGAGAAGGATCCTCTTCTAGAGACATCAGAAGGTAAATATTCTACAGGGGACAAGCAGATGTACCTACTGTACTTCTGATGGGGGCAGCAAACACCTGGCTCTGCTGATAACTTCTACAACTTCTCTTACCCTTTCACCTTTACATCACCAACAGCATGGCCTGCATTTAATTTTGACAAAAAAAAGGCAAACAAAACCTTCACCAAAGTACAGCCAAGGCTCAGAGAGGCAACTCTCATTTTTAAAGTGTGTTGGGAACATTAAGTGAGATTTCTTGAACTGTTACAGTTTACTACAGATAGGAGGCAGTTCGTGAGTCACTGAGCCTCCTAAAGAATATGTAGAAATACTCTGTAAACAAACATAACTTTTCCTGTCGGTCCTCCCTAGTTTATATTTTTATTACTAGTTCTTCATTTCTCTGCACCTTGATCTTTGTTCTTAGACACTTATCTTTTCCTTCTCAAGTCAAACACTTCTCTCAGTGACCTCATTAATATCTGCTCTAACTGCATGTGATAAGAAGAAATTTTTTACTGTGAGGCACTGGAACAGATTGCCCAGGGAAGCTGTGGATGCCCCATCCCTGGAGGTGTTCAAGGCCAGGCTGGATGAGGCTTTGAGCAACCTGGTCTAGTGGGAGGGGTCCCTGCCCCCTGGCAGGGGGGCTGGAACTAGATGATCTTCAAGGTCCCTTCCAACCCAAACCATTCTGTGATTCTATGATACGACAGAGGCTCATTCTTGTAAATGTTTACTGAAAATAGTCAGCCCTTCTCAGAGTCAAATCCGAAGAGAGCTTGAACTGAGTGAGCAGCCAGAGCTCATTACTTGTTATGGAACAATAACCCTCTCTCCAGACAAATGAAGTAAGACTGAAGAAAGAAAATAAAGAAAACACAGAGTGGTAAGATAGGCTAGCCAGAGCACACTACATATTAATACAGAAATAATGACAAAACTTAACACCACTTTCAAGCTGCTTTTTTTTTTTTCCTGGCCAATTTACATATTGCATGTCTCAAAACATAAAATATACACTCAACATCATCGTTCTTATGTTATTCAATATTCTATTTTTTTTTTTCATTATAAAAGCAACCATAAAGTGTTGGGAATTAATTAACTAAGTTTACTCCTCGGTAACTCCCAACAAGAAATCCATCACTGAACTGATCCTGAACCTTAACTGGGCCAACTCAAAAAACCATAGCTGCCATTTGGCAAAGTAAAGCTGATCCAGGCTTCCCAGCATGGCTGGTATAGTAATGTTGGGGAGTCATTACAAAAATAAATCATGCCTCAATTGTGTAACTTCCCATTTCAATTTCTCAACTGCACGAGTCCAAGGTAAATTAATCTATAAACAGCCACACACTGAAGAATTATTGTCTTTTAAGTATGTACAATTCTAACACAAATCTATTTTTGTCCCTTACTCCTTTCTTTCTGCCCTCCTAAGTTCTAAAAAGTTTTGTGCCATGAATGTGAGTTAAGAAGATATTTCAGCAATGTCTTGGGAATTTTCAAAGAACCAGAAAGACCAGAGAGAAGAGGGGAGAAATGTTGGTATCTGCAGGTTTCCTAAGACCAAATGTCTTTCTCTCCAGCTTTCTAGACTGAATGTCATTTAAACCTTACTCTGCTAGCATACAGACATACTTAGCACTAACGGTGAGACCAATAAGGCTTATCGCATGTAAATCTTTGCAGGATCAAAACCTAACTATGATGCACGGGGCAAAGCCACTTAGCCATGGCAAGGTAACACAAGGAATAGGGGAAAAGTAAATGGAAATGAAAGAATGTGGGAACATAAACTTGAGCTTTGTGAAACACTGATTTCATGTCTTACCTTGAATGATCTGTTATATTCTATCTCTTCTCAAGACAGAGCTCCTGATAAAAATTTACTTAAATGGAAACTGTCAAGTCTTTGGAAAGATCCAAATACTCAAGTTTCTAAACTAATTTACAGTTTCTGCTAGTAAGCCCACACAGTTATATATATAATACCACTTTCAAATTTGTTTAGAAAAAATAGTTTTAAAAATCAAAGAAAACACTTCTGGACTCTGCTGATCTTGCTACAAGAAACCATTAAAATGGATTGAATACTTTAAAGTTGGAAACTGATGTCATATATTTGCAGCTTTATGATGCTCTTTACAAACAAAATAAAACACAACTCGCAAAAGACTTTGGCTTTCATCTTTCCAAATAAAGAATGAAATCTCACATATTCCTTAAAACAAACCTTTTGCATCTGCTTGCTTTACAGTTTGAGTTCAGTAGGAAACATTCAAGTTCATTTTCCCCTGGATAGCTGTGAGATTCTCTACCCACATACTGGGGAAAAACTAAATTGGGAGGCAAATACTGCGCAAAATACCCACTCGTCTATATGCAGTCTTAGAATAAGGGCAGATTATGGTCTTCACAAAGAAAAACAGAAGATTATGTACTACCAAATGTGAGAAATGGGAAGGCAAGTGTAGTATTTTCTAGTGATTATGAACTACATAAAGGAAAATATTTTAAAAGTGGTTACGTACAAACTGAAAGATTTGAAAGCTGCAGAAGGAACGCACGTCATGTGTTCAGAATGCTATTTCAGATTCCAAACCAAAAATCAACTATGCTGTGAAGGAGTCTTGGGCTTTCCTTTTTAATTGGCATCCTTCTGAACTGATGTTATCCACCAGTCTAGTTGCATAGGTGAACTGGAAAAACGTCAATAATAATAATTACTTCTACTGGGGATATTCCTACTTTTCTCCTGGCATCAGGGTCACCAAAAAAAGAAATCCCTTTCTAGTTTTGTCAGAAATCCTCTTCTGTTATACCTTAAAACTTCTGAGTGGGAAAACAATTGTGTCTTACAGAAGGCAAATCATACGGAGTGTGATGACTTGGCAGCATGAAGGAGTGATTTCCATACATATTTGAGCAACACAGGTGCCACCAACAAAACAGATTATTATTATGGGATTATGCTGTGGTTGCTGCTGTGACAGGGTAGAGGACTCAACGATTCAGGGAGACTCTGCAGCTTTGAAAACTGCATTTACACATACTGTATGGCCTATTGTATGACTTCATCTTTGTGTCACAGGTTAGGATGAATTAAAACCCATCTTCATCATCCAAAAACATTCAAAAATTCTATAACTTTGGAACTAATTTTCTCTAAAAGGACTGCTAATCATTATAATCAATAAATAAGCATAAGAAACAGATTTTATTTTTGTGTTAAAGTTGCTTCATCTTACAACTGGAAACCCCAAATTCCACTGTCATCAAGCCAATATACAAAAAATTTGTGAAAGTCATCCACAACAGCACACTTTATAATTGCTGCCAATGGTAATTAGTGCTTTACCATGAACAACTTCCATAGACTCCCTCACACACCATTCATGATGCTCAGCTCTTAAGAGAAATGAAAGATGAGCAACATCTGATTTGTTCTCCTCCGGGGAGGAAAAGAGATTGTGTTTTCTCTGTTAGATCAGAGCCAAGAAAGCATTTGTAATGACATCAAAAGCAGAGATGTGAGGGCAATTGCAGAAACAGGACCTTCAAAGCAACTAATATGACATTGAAGTCTTGAAGCTGACTATGCAGCCTACTAGCTTTTCTGATGAAGACTGTCTGAAGAATTTGTCCCAGTTTGGGTCTTGAGTACGTGACCAGGAAATTTCTGAGAGTAGTAAGGATGTATTTGGAGGCTCATTTTTATCAAGTCAAGACAAGCATCTCCTTGTTCTCTGCTGCCTCACATTTCTTACAGGAAAAATAACCAACAAGTATGTAGCCTCAAAACTGAGATTATATTCTGAAAATAGATTACTCTCTTAAGAGCATCACACTCCTAGCAATAACACTAAGCGACATTCCCTCTAATTGCCTGGAATATCTTAACCAAGAAGTTGCAATCACAGTGAAAACATCTCATTAAGAATAAATCACTTACATGATAGCACAGTAGAATAAAAAATGACAGATAGTAAGCTCTTCCTATTTCAGTGATATTTCATCTGCCCATTACTGAAAATACATTAAATTGGTACCAGGGCAGCTAAATGTTCCCACTGGGTTTTGTTACCTTTTCTTACAAAACCATTTTTGTCAGTTTTGACCAGCTTTGCACAAAAGATCCATTTTCCCCTGCAGGTGTGCATGCTGGCTGAAAAGTGAGGAAGCTCAAGGAAAGGTCAATTAACTTAAAGGAAACAGGATCTAACAATAATCTGTTACATCCACAACGATTTGCAATAAATTTATGCTCAATTGATATGTGTAGCCACATGTGAGATACAATTTTATGTCTTTCTGTTATATAGATGGTGAAATCCAGCATAAAGGTTTTTATTAGCTTGAGTTAGAAATAATATGATCATTCCAAACTGAGGGCTTAAAGAAAGACGTCTACAGACTTTACCATATGTCATGTGATCTGCAGTCTCTCTCCTAACTGTGGTCTTGGCTCATGGCAAATGCGAAATAAGTGTAAAAGACAACCAACGTACCTCTAATTATCCTGCATTTACTGTGATCTAAATACCAACACAGTTACTTGTCAGTCAGACATAAACTAACTGAAATGATTTCATGTCTATGGTAGACTAAGAAAACACACAGAGACAATTAACCACAAATCAGATGATCTGTGATAATTTGCTACTGCATGTTATATCTTCATGTGGTTAAGTCAACAAACTAATAAAATCCTTTACGACACATGATATATTCTGCACATATTTTTGGTTTTAATTTTTATAATTAAAGAAAGCTTTTTCCTTCACGTGTTAATTATATTATTTCTTTTATACATCTTCCTTTAAATCCTGGCACACTATTACATTACCTCCAACTACACAATGTTCAGAGGAAGAGAAAAAAAAAAATCACAGCCAACTGACTGCAAAAATTAAATTTTAATCATATTCTGAATGCACTAGGCACTTTCCACACACACACGAAGACAAAGTCCAATCTGTCCCAGAGAGTTTGGAGTCTAGGAAACGTCTTAAAAATTGCTTAAAGCAAGCTTGTCAATTTTATGATTTTGGGGTCTGACATACTGGGATTCACTAGAATAAAGGCAATGACTGTGTGTCCCATGAGAAAACCAGGAATCCTGTTAATCCGAATGTACAAACTCATTGCATTAAGGCACACAGGTGTAGGCATATATACACCATACACAAAGTTGGAATATGTTATGTATCACAACTGCAATAGTGACCGGTGTGATTTTTTTTCTTCAGATCTTTCACAAAGCATACAATTAAATAATATCCAAAGAGTCTCCATAAACCTGCTGTTGAGGCAGTTGACTTGTTTACAATGTCCTATGTGTATGCAATAGGAAAAGAACAACAAACTGGTCAAATGCCTAGCCGTGATTGTGTTAAGGCACTCTAGGGTGTGCTTCAAGGATAGTGTAATACACGCCTCCTGTTACTGAAGACTACAAGAAACCTAAGACACGAACTAGCAGATCACTAGAATACATCCTGTCAGATAATAGTGCACTGAATATTTTTATGTACATATCATTCTGTTCTCTGCAGCAGAACGCAATCTTTCCTCTGAATTGGGAAACAAGATTTGTCTTTAGAAAACACTGTACAAGAGTCATAATTTCTTTGGCAGAGTCTGCGTAATGGGGAAGATATTTCTACTCCACTGTAGACAGTGCAGAAGAGTTGTGGAAAACTAGAACCTTTTGAACACTTCCAGTGGGAGACAGAAATTCCCAGCAGAAACAAGGATGATGAAAAAACAGATTACTCACGATGACTGGGAAGCTTTCCTCCTCAACAAATAGTCCACAACATCTGGGTCGGTCTCTAACAGGCTTATAAGAACTTCATTCTGTAGGTCAGGGGAAACCTATGAAGACAACAAAAATACTTAGTTGGAGATTAATATCCTTTCACATACATTAATTTCAGTACTATGCTTAATTTAAAAGACCAAGTAAAAGTACATTTACAGATAGTATATGAAAATAAATATTCAGAAGTTTCCACTTAGAAGTGTCATGTAACAACAGGTGAAATAGGGCTAAAGATCACTTTGTACAATGTCAAATGCTGATTACTGTTGCATAACCCATTAGTATCCATTTGGGTTTTATATCTGATAACAACAGTGGGATTATTCAGTGGGATTATTTAGTAGGATTATTCAGGAGTTCCTTGTTCAGGCTTGCATGGATGAACAAGGAACTCCTGAGCAAACTCAAACAAAAAAAAGGAAGCATACAGAGGGTGGAAGCAAAGACAGGTAGCCTGGATCTCTGTCCGTGAAGCCAGAGATCAGGTTAGGAAAGCTAAAGCCCTAATAGCATTAAATATGGCCGAGGACATTAAGGGTAACACAAAGAACTTCTATAGGTATGTCAGCGATAAAAGGAGGAGTAGGGAAAATGTGGGCCCCCTCCAGAAGAAAGTGGGAGACCTGGCGACCCAGGATGTAGAGAAGGCTGAGGTACTTAACGAGTTCTTTACCTCAGTCTTCACTGGCAAGAGCTCAAGCCACACTGCCCAAGTTGCAGAAGGCA